ACTGACACTTTACTGTAATCAGATAGCTCATCAAATGGTATCCATGGCAACTACAGTGATAACAAGACATTATAAAGACACACCGTCAACATAGAAGCTGTGCAAGAACCAAAGCATGCAGCATTTGGTATGGTACTGGAATTATGTAAGTATGTTAGTAACAGTACTGGAATTATGTAAGTATGTTAGTAACGGTACTGGAAGTATGTAAGTATGTTAGTATTAAAAGGTACTGGAATTATGTAAGTCTGTTAGTAACGGTACTGGAATTATGCAAGTCTGTTAGTAACGGTACTGGAATTATGTAAGTCTGTTAGTAATGGTACTGGAATTATGTAAGTCTGTTAGTAATGGTACTGGAATTATGTAAGTCTGTTAGTAATGGTACTGGAATTATGTAAGTTATTTAGTAATGGTACTGGAATTATGTAAGTCTGTTAGTAATGGTACTGGAATTGTGTAAGTCTGTTAGTAATGGTACTGGAATTATGTAAGTATGTTAGTAATGGTACTGGAATTATGCAAGTCTGTTAGTAATGGTACTGGAATTATGCAAGTCTGTTAGTATTGGTACTGAAATTATGTAAGTCTGTTAGTAATGGTACTGGAATTATTTAAGTATGTTAGTAACGGTACTGGAATTATGTAAGTCTGTTAGTAACGGTACTGGAATTATGTAAGTCTTTTAGTAATAGTACTGGAATTATGTAAGTCTGTTAGTAATGGTACTGGAATTATGTAAGTCTGTTAGTAATGGTACTGGAATTATGTAAGTCTGCCAGTAATGGTACTGGAATTATGTAAGTCTGTTAGTAATGGTACTGGAATTATGTAAGTCTGTTAGTAATGGTACTGGAATTATGTAAGTCTGTTAGTAATGGTACTGGAATTGTGTAAGTCTGTTAGTAATGGTACTGGAATTATGTAAGTCTGTTAGTAATGGTACTGGAATTATGTAAGTCTGTTAGTAATGGTTCTGGAATTATGTAAGTCTGTTAGTAATGGTACTGGAATTATTTAAGTATGTTAGTAACGGTACTGGAATTATGTAAGTATGTTAGTAACGGTACTGGAATTATGTAAGTATGTTAGTAACGGTACTGGAATTATGTAAGTCTTTTAGTAACGGTACTGGAATTTTGTAAGTCTTTTAGTAACGGTACTGGAATTATGTAAGTCTTTTAGTAACAGTACTGGAATTATGTAAGTATGTTAGTAACGGTACTGGAACACTGGAATATGTTGATTTCAATCAAACTTGTCACAAAGAGATATATATATCATCTTGAACACAATGGACTACAGCTGGTAATTTTAAATTCTAACATTCCATTATTTAGGCTATTCCGGCAAGTTTGTTGACTGTGGCCATCTTAGTGGCAAACAATTCATCAAACTACATTATATTCTCTTAATTCTGAACTTTATCGTCTATGTGTTGTGGGTCACATTAAAAATGGCCATTATGTTATAGATGCAGATTCGTGGAGATTTGAAGTGAAAAAAAAACTCCTAGGGCATATGCTTTAATTGGTTCCTTGTATAGTATGTTCCACTATTGACAGAGCTCTGAAATTTCTAGCAAAGTCTGTCTGAGTAAAAATAAACAAAAAAAATGTTACCACGAATCAGCATCTATACCCTAACATATTACATGTACCTGCTAAAAGCCTCCATAAAAAGCAAGAATTACTGGAATTTGTTGTATTCTCTTCCTGAACCATACCTTGTATGTATGACTTAATCACTTCAGTTTGCCCAGGAAGCATGTTATATATCCATATTCTAAACCATTATATTGTATGAAATTATGTCTAGTGTTATTGCTGAAACAAGTACTGGTTGTAGACTGGCTGGGTCAGCCTTGGGTAAAAGGGGTGAGTTACAGAAATCCATAATAGTTAAATAATAACACATGCTTGCAAGGGATGGTGGTCATGACCATAATATTGATGATGCCAGAGCCGAAGGCATCAACCATGCACAATCACATCGAACAGACATCACTCACACCCACTCTCCCACAAAATAACAACACTTATATTTGAAGTATGCAATATTTTATTTTATCTATTATAACAAGTTTCACACTACTTAATAACATACATACATTGTTTGCTGAAAAAAAACTGTGAAATACACTCAGTAAATGTTTTTGCTTCATATAAAAATACCCTGAACATCAAAACAGAGTATCTCACTTAATATCCATTCTGGCACGTTCGCTGTCTATTTCGGATGGATAAAGTTCCTTCAAAACCTTGAAAGCAAACCTGAAAACTACAGCGGCCGGGGCAGCACCAGTGCAGCGAATGACAATTTGTTATGCGCAGTATTATTGCATTGTAGTTTCAGTGACATCATCCATATGATATACCCATGTAATATACCATGTAATATCCAGTTTTATTCAATGTCATATGAGTCTCAACCAATCACAGCAAGCGTAACAGCAGTGAGATGTGATAATATGTGGTTATCACTTGTTTTATGATCGATTTTTTGGAATATTTCATTGTTGTATAGGAAAGTGACTTTTGGCTAGTCCTAGTTCAGAAGAAATCCTGGACTAATCAAGTTTAAATTTCACATATTATATGAACAAGCATTTATTTCATGATCTAATTCAAGGTGACTAAATGGCAATCAATTTCTGACATCAGGAGAAAATTCTGTCCTTGTTGTTGACTCTGGCATAACTTTTGCCAGTAAACCGGTTGAGTTTGATATATATATATTTTTCAAGTAAGAAAAAAGTACCCATGAATCTCTACAATATTGATTGGCCCAATTAAATGGGTTACTGCTGTCAATTGCAATTGAATGATTTTTTTTTGTTTACATCATAAGATCACTTTGTCAAAAAGTCCCAATGAGGATTGTCATTATCAATAATTTGTTTATACTATGTTTGGTAGGTGTGCCAGCCCAACAAGTTGGTCAAGATGCAGCGGATATGTTACTTAAAAATTTGCAACATGGTGGATGTGTTGATGAATATTTACAGGATCAGGTATTGAGTGTTTCTACAAATAGATTTTAATGATGAATGAATTAGACATTTTTAAATCTATTTAGAGATGAACAGTTACCATATTTTCTCTATTACAAGCACATCTCCAATAGAAGTACATATAAACCAAACATCCCATTTGTTATAAACTGAGTCATTAATATTTTCACCACCAGACTTTCTCACCCAAATTTGTCTGCACTTTTTTTTTTATATTCTTCAATATTTCTGGGAATGAACTCAAATTTTGGAGCTAACAGACAAAATTTCAGTAAATTTTCAGTTTTTACTCCACAAATTTGTCTATTTATGTCTCAATCTTCTAAAGGAAAGTGCAGACTATAAACAGGACTAATTTGTGATGAAAAGAGGGAACTGACATTGAAAAGGTTAAAATATTACTTCTATTTTGACCACCTACATGTGCTACTAATATAACAAATTGACATTGAATATTTTCATGGGTTAGATTCACTGAAATTCTTATCTAAAGCATCATTATATTGAATTTTTCATAAAGTATAAATATAGTTTTTCAAAGAAAATAGCGATTTGTCTGATAGCTAGCTTGAGACAAACTTTTTCACTGTCCCCATGCAACTATGATATGCCATTTAATCTGGCTTTTTAGGTACATAGACAGTAAACATATCAAAGCCAGTTATGCATTACTGTATTTCATAGAATAGACTTAATACTAAAAAACAATAGAAAATCTTGTACAAAGTGATTTCCACATGGCATATATAACGATACTCCCTAGGTTTTGTAAAAGATGGCTTCATTCAAGTTGAATAATTTTGTGGTTCTTTTGCTGTGAAAATCATGTGGCCTCCTAGCTTATTGAATATTCAGCTTATATCTGAATGTTTTGTATAAAATTTATTCATATGTTATTTTTCAGCTTATTATATTCATGGCTTTGGCGAATGGTAAATCTACTGTATTGAGTGGACCTATCACACTGCACACAGAGACTGCCATTACAGTGGCTGAAATGTTAACACAGGTGAGAAATATCACAGAACACAATTAGCTATTTATATAACAAATATCACCCACTAAATATCACACCAGTTTAGTTACACCACTGCAGCTAACACCACTGCAGCAAACACTACTGCAGCTAACACTACTGTGGTTAACACCACTGCACCTAATACCACTGCACCACAACACCACTGCACCACAACACCACTGCACCCCAACACCACTGCACCCCAACACCACTGCACCCCAACACCACTGCACCTAACACCGCTGCACCTAACACCACTGCACCTAACACCACTGCACCTAACACCACTGCACCTAAGACCCACTGCACCTAAGACCCACTGCACCTAAGACCCACTGCACCTAAGACCCACTGCACCTAAGACCCACTGCACCTAAGGCCCACTGCACCTAAGACCCACTGCACCTAACACCACTGCACCTACCGTTAAAGTCCTAATATAAACCGCATACGTAATAGTAACCGCACCCCCAATTCCGGCTTCGGGGTTAAAGAGTTCTTAACAAAAATTGAAAACTTGAAAAGTACCTATTACTAACCGCACCCCCAATTCAACAAGACCATGACTGACTTCATTGTTTCAACCAGCTGTTCCAAAACGGCATTGTTCCTCATCCTATTCATTTGTTTCGACAACATGCCTAAAAATATTCACACCTATTTATTGTTCAGCGGTGATAAGATGTCAGACAGGCAATGAAACTGCTTTTGTTCTGGCGGCAACCTCTGTCAATACTCTTTCTGAATACGTCTGTGTTTCGTAAGTTTTAGACAATGAGCTTTTATCACCGTAAAAGTGTTAAACTGAGCATTGAAGAATAATTTATCTTTCGAAAACAAATAATTTCTTGATTTAAAAAAAAAATCATGCCGTTTACCCATGGAAATCAAAGGCAAAAGATCGCACTACATTATCGGTAAATCTCTTCGTGTTGAGTTCACCATGAGGTCGCTGAACTGTCATTAACATATGTAAATGAGCTATGTAATTTAGACACGTGGGCACCATCCATCATTTTGATTGGTTAAATAGCGACTTGACCTATCCGGTCAATAATACGTCATGTGAGCATTCAAAAACATGGCGGATATCGTATCGGCTGTTTACATGTGACTGAAATCATTCGCTTACGGGGAAACTAAGTTGAATTTTACTTGCATTTTATAACAATTCA